TTGCATGTTTATTTTCTTTATTATTATTAGTTAGAAAAATTAAAAAGTTATTAGATCGAAAAGTCAAGTTTTCAGACAGATAAAAACAAGCAAAAGTTTGGTGACAAAAGCTAAACTATTATGTCATCTCTCCATATCCTTACCAACCTAAATTGGTCGGGATCTCAAACAGTCAAACTTTTGAGGGTAGCAGGTGAGGTCAGCTGTTAGATTTGAACTTCATTGGCAAATTTTTTAAAATCAACCTCTAAGCAATTGAGCCCCATTTTCACAAAAATGAGTTTTGTAGTAGTGTTTTTTTTGGAGAATGCTTGATTAAAATATAGGAAAATTTTGGATTTACGTGTGAATTATTTTATTGAAAAAATATGATTAAAAATGACTTTTAAAAAAATGAATTTTTAAATAATGGGACTCAATCAGGACTTAGTCTACTCCTTGTTTCAATTCATCTTCTTCCTCGTCCCATCTCGAATCCTACCCCAACCTCATCTCCCTTTCTCACCATCCCATTCCTCTTCTTCATCCCAACTTTCATCCCGTCACTTCGCATTGAAAGCCACAACTTGGTGCAACATTGACAATTTCCTCAAATTCAAAGCTAAAGCAATTTCTTATCTGTTTCCCCTTATTCAAGAATTCTTCCCAGAATCTGCGTACACGCAGAGATAACACTATAAAAACATGGCCTTTTCAAAAAACCTAAAATAATTTTGAAAGCATTAAATTTCCTTGCAACACGTATAGGTTGAAAACAACAGTTGTGCTACATGTACATAATAACTTACACAATGGTTTACCAACAGATAATGTGGCAAAAAGCTGCATTGACACAAGCATTTCTCTAATTCGCGAATTAATTTAACTGAATTAAAATTTTATCAATCAAATAACTTCCCCACTTACATTTTGACACAATGACACCTCATCATTAAGTAAAACATTACGTAAATAATTATGTACAAAAAACATTTTCGTGAAAACAATATATGGTTTGAAACAAGAGTAGTTATTGACCATTCAAGCATCAGTTTGGACAAACAATTCAGGCTTTCTTTATCTGTTTATACTAAGAATTTGCTATATATTTCATTGTGTCACATCAAAATCTTTATTATCACTGTTGAGCAGCGATTGTTTCCTGCTTATAAAGGAAGAAGTGAAGAAATATGAATTTATCGTAAGAATTTGTAGCCATGAAAACATCTCATAGAGCCTTTATTTTCTTTCTTCAGTTTCTGCTTTCCTCTTTACATCCACTGAAGATCGCGTCTGCAAGAACAGAAGCAGAGGCTCTTGTGAAGTGGAAGAACAGCTTGTATTCTACTCCTCTGAATTCATGGTCCCTCAGAAATCTTCGAAATCTTTGCAGATGGACAGGAATTATCTGCAACAACGGGGGATCAGTTTCTGAGATAAACTTATCCAATG